TAGTGTGTGAGGGGGGGGGGGGGGGTGCTTTTCACTCGCCTCATAGTTCTAGCCGACCTGTGACAATGAGACTGTCACAGGTCGGCTCAGTAGATCGGGAGGTGAGCGAACACATACCGGCGTTCACTCACCTCTCCATCCTATCACGGCTGCCTGCCGTGATGGGAGAGGCTGGATTCCCCGCTCCGATCCGCCAGCGCTGACTGGTGGATCAGACGGGGGAGGGGGCGGGTACAGCTGGCTCTGCCTCTAGATAGGCAGAGCCAGCTGTCAGTCACGCAGCTGGGCGGATCCCGGCACAATTGTCCGGATCCGCTCCGGCGTCTCGGTATACCGCGAGCTACAGCTCCCTATATACTGAGCCTAGGGTGACCGGAGGACGCTAGTTTGTGTCCTCCCATTACCCTTAGGAGAACTATGGGGAGAAGACTTAACCCCATAGTTATCCTTTAAACAACGGGCTCGTTTTTTCTAGAACAATATCTCATTGCTAAAATTTACTTGAGGTTGTCCTGTTGAGTTGATATAGCGCTTGCGTGTTCCGTAGCCGTGAAGAAAATGTGTACTGCGAGAGGCCGCCACAGTATGAGACTGTGACGCCAGCAGGAGCCACGGCCTCAAGAGTCTGTGCTCTGTTTCTTCACAGATTGAGCGGTGTGAACGGAGGGCCGACCGACCGAAGGGAAAAGACCACGAGAAGAGGAAGAAGAGGCGAAGTGAGCGGCCGGATGGGGGTTATCCTCCACCAACAGTCCTGAAGGAGGAGGTGGGACCAAAGAGAAGTCGCAGTGACCGGGCACTGGACACGGCACCGGACAAGGAGAGCCCAAGGAAAGCGGGGACAGAAAGTAACCAGAATGGAGAGGTCAGTTCAAGGGGATGACGGGGGGTGTTGTGTTCCTGCTGTGGTCACTCTCTGATGTTCATTTCTTGATAAAGATAAAAGGACTGATTTGCTTTCTTTGAACAATACCCATATTTTTTCACCTTCCCGCCCCCCCGTTTATCCAATGTGTAAAGATTTATTTAGAAAAGGCCCGGGGGTTGCCTGTTAGAGTTGGCATTTACCATTGTAGCTCAACAGACTGTTTCGTGCCATCTCGGAGCTGGGTAACATCACCGAGATAAAGGCGCTGGTGGGTTAGATGCTGTGCCTACAGAATAGCTTTCATGTTTGCATCACTACCCATCTACGGCTAGTTTTATATATTGGACCCAAGCTGTTGGAAGCTGTGCTCCAAAAAGCCAAGCAAGGGGCAAAAGACTAGTTGCCAGTAGGGATGCACCAAAACATTTCGGCCTAAAGTGGAAATGTGGTGCATCCCTAACTTCTCACCTAGCCACTAGGTGCCAGTGTGTGTGTCCCCTCCAGTCTGTGTCGGCAGAGGTAGCGAGGATTGGAGGGGGACACAGACCCGAACCAGCCTCCAGCACCCAGTGGGGAGAAGAGCGCTTTTAGGAGGTCAAGCATGGCGGTGCAGGAGGAGAGCTCGGCTCCTGTGACAGGAAGGATGGAGAGCGGAACGCAAACACTCGCTGAGTGTTTTCAAATAACTGAGGACATACCGTGTTTCCCCCGAAAATAAGACACTGTCTTATTTGTTTGGCTCACACAAACACACAACAATGCAAAGTTAATGCAAATCCAAATCTAAATAATCCAAAATGGGAAAGTTAAGAATAGGGTGATCAGGTGTGTGTGTGCCGTACCTTTCCAAGACAATCTGCTAACTAATCGCTGGCCAGAATGAGCGAAGCTTTCACTATGGATTCCTCACAGGCGGAGTGCACTTGGTATCACTCCGCCTGTGACAACAGCCGGCGCTATATGCGGCTCTGCTCCCTCCGGTGCCACCTCGCTTCCTCTAGCGCCGGCTTCGTTGGCACCGCCGATTCTCTCCCGTGGCTCTTCAAGTTCCCCCCTTAAGCCACCAGCTGCCCTGGGAATGATAACAACTAGGTCTTATATTCGGTGTAGGTCTTATATTTTAGCAATTCCCAAAAATAGTACTAGGTCTTATTTTCGGGGGAAACTCGGTAGTAAGCTTACTATGCCCCCAGTTAGGAATGAACAGGAAGTGCTATACATCACTTCCTGTTCATTCACGATTGTGGACATAGTATCTGTTTTTACTTTCTCCTCAATTTATGAATGAACAGGACGCCTCTGTAATGAGAGCATCTTGCTCTGAGTGGTGGGGCTGCAATAAAGAGATTGAGGACTCTTATTTTTCTATTTTTAAAAGGGAAATATCAGGGGGGGTCTGTTTTTAGGTTTCTGATATTTTCACAAAGCTCCTGACAGTATAGTAAAACCTGACAAATTTTATTTCGGTTTGTCTAAAAAATATTTCAATTTGATGCATCCCGAGTTACATAGTTACATAGTATTTGAGGTTGAATAAAGACATTTGTCCATCAAGTCCAACCTATTAGGATCTCATTCTAGGATTACCTGTACCCCTGTATATTACCTGTACATTACCTGTACCCCTGTATATTACCCGTACCCCTGTATATTACCTGTACCCCTGTATATTACCTGTACATTACCTGTACCCCTGTATATTACCTGTACATTACCTGTACCCCTGTATATTACCTGTACCCCTAGTTGCCAGTATTGCCTGTGATCTCTCTGCAACCAGCTTCCCCCATTGCTAACATGCCATGCCTTGTTCTGTGTGGAGGCGGCCATCTTTGGTCTTTGCGTTTTTCATGTCGGAGCAGTACCGGTTTTTGTATGCACGATTGTCAGACTTCTTTACATTCATAAGTCCAGGACTTTGTTGTAGAAGGGGTTACAGTACCTAATGATCTAATATTTCTGCTTTTGCATTTTGCAGCGCTTGTGACACTCGGCCTGAAGACCTGACACACTCTCTCTAAAGCTAGGAAGGTGACACTCCCACCACCAGACACACGTTCAGTTACCTCGCTGAAGAATGGTGAGAGGCGACTGGGGGGGGTGATGAGATCCAGGACCCGCTCCCCCTCTACCTCTTACACAGCATTCTGTTCTCCCTACTCCACTCAAGATGGGGATGTACCTCTCTGGGGACATCTAGTGGACGCTGGTGCTAACTTCACATGACAGTTGTCAGTACTTGCCTATGGACTTGTGGACCCTTGGACACATAAGGAGGGGGGGGTACCCTTTTCTATATATCTCAAGCAATTATCCTGGCGAGTTTTCTGTAGGCCCCCCCTCCCCCCTGAAGGGAGTTGTGCTAGAGGCCCGAATTGCCTGTCCTGCCCTGAAGGAACTTCACCCTGATGAGCATGTTTTATTTTTACTCCCCCCCCCTTTGCCCACAAAAGCTTGAAGCCACAAGACCAAGACCAGCATCTGGTGACACGTGGACGGGGGCTTCCGATGTCACAAAGAAAGTGGAACGTTGATGTTTTTTCTTTTTTCTTTTGGGCTTTGGGAGGGGGTCACCTTTTTATTTTATTTATTCCCTTCTCCTTGTGTTTTTGATAGTTTCACTAATTGCCCCGTTTCCCTTTTTTGTTCTCCTTTTATAGTCCAGGATCCACAGGGCTCTCTGCACCTCCAACCCTTTCCCTTGGTGAGAAATGTTCACTTTGTTCAGGACACTTTTGTTTAAAAAGATTTAAAAAAAAAAAAAAAAAAGGAAAACATTTCTAAATCATGTAAAAG